CCCAATCCCTGTAATTGCTATGAATTAATAAAATGTATGAATGATGCTTATTGGTGCAAGTTAATCATATTATAATTTAATTTTAGGGATTATTTTGGAGTTCATGCTTTTGTTCTGATGATAAAAGAAAATTATGCCAAAAATTCATCAATCATTTTTACAAAGTTTCAAGAGAAGATAGTTGATCAATACCCTGCTGTTCTTTCTGAGGTCCCTGTTGTAACACTGACTCGGCATTACTTAATGAAAACTTGCTTACTAATGAATAACATAATTATCCGAATAACCGTTATATAAATGGATGCAAAGTCATCTGGCGAAGTCTTTGTTAAGTGTACATTCGAGGCAGTTTTTATAGGGAACAGAAATTGTTGGTCATATGGCAATGAATGGGATAACTGGCAGTCTTTGTTGGTCATCTGCTACAAATGGTATTACTGTAGCTAGCCAGTAAACCAATTGGATACCAGCTCCATTGTTCCCAGCTGAGCTAGCTGTAATTTCCAAATATTGGACTAGGAAAGAAGATTTGCCAGTGAGGTCATCCATGGTGTACTGAAGTGGTGTCTCTCCATCTATTTCCCATGTGTGTATTGGTAGTGGAATCAATTCCTGTATGTTTTATGTAGAATTGTGTGTAAATTTGGTGGGAGTTAAGAGACCTGCCCAACCATTCACGACTAAATGACCATTGTCATTGATCCATTGTTGTGTCTTTGGCCAGTGGTGGGCAGTTAGTGACAGGGTGTTAGAGTGACCAGAGGCTGTTTTGGAAATGACTAGAGACCGCCATATGAATAAGGTCTTACAATACTAGGCTTTTGTGTTTTATGACCAGAACCGTGAAGCTTCCTGCTGCAGTACTTCTATGTGAAGAAAAAAGACACTGAAAGGAATTTTAACAGAAAGGAATTTAACCCTGGAATAATAAGAATTGTTTCTATAATGGCTCCCAGCTTGTAACATTGGGAAATATTGGTGAAAGCATTGTTGATGAAGAACAGCTTCCCATCTCTGTAGTGGAACTAACCTGAAATGGTGCTAGGAACAGCTGTGTTGAGGAGTCCTTTAGCTTTGAAACAGGTTTGTAAGGGGATAAAAAAACACAAAGGTCTGTTTGATCTGTATTCGACTTCAGTGATGAAGATCTCCATTCCTATCTTAGTATTGATTTTGTGTGAATTTGAACAAGCACCTCTTTGGTGTTACGTCTGTTGCCAATACAAGGGCTTATGAGATACTGAATCTGTCAAACTCGGAGACATCCCTTTGTTTGAAATTTTATCTGAAATGCTTGTTACGGTACTTTACCACACCACAGACAACTTCCATCAGTTTCATTGGCTACATATAAGTGGTATTTATATATAGATAATTTCATGTTTTAGTGCAATTACTGATTGCTAGGTTGTTTCTTTGGGCTATTTGTTGGAGGGGTAGTGTGTGATAAACGTACGGTAAAGAAACCTTAGTTGATTGGTTGTTGTCACAGTTTGTAACGGACCTGACTCCAGTACTTTCGACACCAAGCAGAAATGCCACATTATAGCTAGCATATATATGTCACACACAATATCCACATGGAAATCAGTTAGTAAATGTTAATAATGAATAATTAAGAGGTGTAATATGAAAACAGCATATTGAGTCATTATGTGGCTTTGAAAAGGACAGCTCCTGTAATTGTTTATCTGTCCAGTATTATAGTCAACCATATATCAGATCATATTTGAGCTAATTAAGTACACAATCTAGGAGTTTTACTGATTGTATTCTGCGAGAGAACGTGTAAGTTACAATTTTCGTTCGGGACAATACTCTAGTTCAAAGGCAGACATGCATGGAGAGGGCATTATAATCCAGTTATAGATTCAGCAATGAAGGTAATCAATACAAGTTTTGTTTTGGTTGAAGTGATATATTTTGATATACATCACATACCTGCATTTGAAAATCAGATTCTGTCTAGTTTTCAGATTCTGTACTGTAATTGGTTTGGGACTTGGTACATTTCTACCTGCATAAGCACATTAAGCCCTGCCTGTATGATGTCACCTCTGGAAAACATTTGTAAATGTAAACAGAAAATAAGAGTTCTTTGGATGAATTTTTCTTGAAGTAGAAATGCTGTGTTTAGTTACAAAATTCAAGTACTTGCACAGTGTATTGATATACAGTGTGCTCAATCCCATTTTGATTATTATAATGGAAGTCTTATGATTCTTCAGGGATTTGTATTTATTATTTCTACAATAATGTGAAATTTCTGACAATTTAAATGAAATGATAGGGAAATGGAAATAATAACACTATCTGTTAAATGTTTTTACAAGAATATGGAAATAATTGAATCATTTAATACAAGATCCGAAAGTAAACTTTTCCAAAGCACCAACATGGAGATATATGTAGTATAAATGTCCTTGGGCATTGGCCAAGGGATGGAAACTATGGTAGTCCAACCTGCTAGAAAGGCAGCAGGTCAACTCTATAGAGAGACAACCTGTGTTGATTAACCCTAGAGTGAAGTGAACCTGTATTTAGATACAGTCTTCAGTAAGGGACCACTTTCTGGACTTGCCCCAAGGTGGTCTCTGGATACAGGTTCGAATGTATAAAGAACAGAAATCTGAACCAGCTATAAACAGAGGATGTTTATAGAGACAGTGGTAAGAACATGTTAGGATGATTAAATGCTGCAGGTTTTATTGATAATAAGAGATCAATAAGCACCAAACTTGTAATGAATTATGCATGCACAAGCCCCATGGAGAGAGAGTTGTGAGGCAGATGGGTTCTTCAACACACCAGTGCTCCATGTTCCCAGCCTTAATTGTGTATTGTCTTGGACTTGGCAGTATTTTTGTAAACTAGGGCATAATATTGTGATCCAGAGAGTATTTTGTATTGTTTATGGAGAGTACTATCCAATTTGAGTATTGCCTGTGTGGTTTCAATGACTACTGTATAGATTGATGGGGAGTTGTTCAGGTGGCTACTACATTGCCAGACTCATTTTCTTGATATGTTTGTACATAAATGTCTCCAGGCTCCTGGATCAGGGCCCGATGAACATGTTAAACTATTAGTAGACAGAATCTCCACAGTTCAATATTCTTTTTAAATTATATAACAAGTCAATTGTTTGAAGCCCATTTCGTGCCCTTTGGCATTTGATTTTATTGGGTTCCATTAATGTACATTACCTAAGTGAGTGTTTGTTGTCTCAAGTACAGCATATTCTCTGCAATAGTGAAGATTAAGGTAGCTGTTGATAAAGATGATTCTGGATGCTTATATGATTAAAACACTAGCCTGATTACAGTTCTTATATTTGATCAATATTCATTTTCAGAATGATCTGTGTATGTGTCGGTAATCCCCCTGTATATTTTCAATATGTAAAAATCTTTCGGAATGTTACAAGTAATAGGATGATGTTTCGTTGGACAAGTTACCATATGGAGACTGTTAGCAATTCATCCTGTTATCGGTTCTCTGACAGCCAAATTGTCAAACACAGCTGAACGCATAAACCTTACCAATTATTATTCTCGGTACAATTATCCTACAGGGTAATAAGTATGGTAAGGGAAATTAGGACCGTTTGACCTACAGTTTGTGGCATTATCATGTCGCCATAGAAACGTTTAGTCTCCCATGTTGACATTTACAGTCGGGTTTCACTTAATGTCTCTGCAGTCTGTCTGTCCCCCAGACGTGATGTTTGATAACTCCTAGTTATCATTGAATGAAAGAAAACCGAGATATTCATACGATATTGGAGATATTCATACGATATTGGCAATAGTCTATGTGTGAAAGGGGAATACAAATTCCCCATGTGACCTTATATATATCATCATTACCAAATCCAATTTTCTACTTACATCTAGCAATTACCACAATTTGTCCCCTCCTAGGAATGTGATTAAGTTTTCCTTCCACATCAGTTACCACATTGCCAATACAGAAATTGGTAGCAGAAAATCTTTCAATGTTTGAACCCTGAAAGTGTTTTTAACACAGCCTTATATGTAAATTCTCATATGTAATGGAGAGCATTTTGGGCTGGTGAGTAATCCTTTGGGAATGGGGGAGAGATAATGATCAGGGGATATGCTGCAATTATCTTTGATATTCAAATTGGTATTTTTGTTGCTGGCAATGATATGTCAGGGCTATCAAGTATGGGTCGGTGATGATGATGCAGCTATATAGCTAGCCAGGCAGAGAGGCCAGCCTCTGTACCATCTGTGTAATGATCCCACTTTGGGATGTGATGGGGACCAGATTAGCCTAGCTAGCTGGTTATAACATTCACCAGGACCTAACAAAGGCTTCTGTGTTCCATGTTACCCAATAACTTTCATCAGTATATACCTCAGCCTGCCCACATCCAAATTGTGTTGACAGTTGTTTTTGGGAAGCAGAGAATTCTAACTGGGAAACTTGGAATGATCTTGTCTTGTTTTACTTCATTATAACATTTTCTACACCTCCCGATGTGGGTATGTACATGCTGAGTCTGGATTATAGTGTCTACTGTATGATTGGAATTCATTGAAAGTTAACTTCAGACTGCAGCTTCCAGTAACTGTTGTTGACAACTACAGATTGCTTGTCATTGCAACAGTGCAATCGGTAAAATTTGTTTCCTATAATATTCATGTTATCCATGAATGTAATGCATATAATAACATTGCGCCGAAGGAACCAGTGTGATGGTACCAGTATGTGTATTTAAAACTTTATCTGGATGAGAAATATTGATGGATGCCAGTTTTTCTAGTCCATTGTTGATTTTAGGATTGTGTTTTCGGCATTGTCAACATTATTTTTTCTAGCAAGCTGTGTATATCCTTTGATGTTTGTGATGATTGTACATCTTGAGATATTGCAATGCCTTAATTCATTACTTTCTGTTCTTAATCATGCTTAAGAATCAATATATTCTTTCATGAAAGGTCTTAATTTTTTTAATTATTCATATTTTTTAGCACATGGTGCAGAATCAGATGACGCCTACGTACCAGTATGCGGCGCCAACGCCAACAGCCCTGGAGGAATACACTGGTCATCCCCAGGTCGTAGTCAGTCAACCAGCCACAGTAGTGTCCGCAGAAGCAGCCCCACCCCTACAATTCAAACCCCAGGACACGCCCTACCCCGTCACCACGGTAACTCCCAACGGGGGCGTGGAGCAGCAGACGGTAAGGCCGACGAGACAGATCAATGTACGTTAACTTCTCTCTCTTAAGCATGGCACAGTTGCCAGTGCCTGGTTTGGGTTTTATTTTAGCATTGTAGAGGCAGAGTTTTTAACCCCTGGTTATTCAGCAATCCAATGAAAATACAACTTTTTGTGTTACAAATATTTTCGCATGTGAACTTCTGTACATCAAGGGGCTGTTTCTAACAGAATATTTGCTTTTTTGAATGAGTATTAAAACACTTTTTTTTTACCCCAATTCATCACTTAACCCTAGGTGACAAGAATTTTTGGTATCATTTGTTTCCAAAAGCAGAAGTTCAAAATAACATTACAAGCAAACAAGAAATGTCACTTAGCAGTGATTTAGACTGAATAATAGAAATGTCTGGAAAACAACTTTTTGTATATATGTAAAAAAAAAAGAATTTCCCATCACTGGTGGTTAACTGGTTTGACATTTCTAGCGAGTGTATGCCAGCAAACTCAATGGAACATCCCCATAATTTACATCAGAAGTCATGCATCAGTAAATTTGCATGTTGCTCTTTGATGGACAGACATGAAGGTTATCAAACCCTGCCTCATGAGCATACCCTTCACATCTTGGTAATATGAAATGACAAAGTCTGTATTTTGATTGGATTGCTCTGTGGTGCAAATACTCACAGCAGACTCGACTGGAGATTGGCGCATGACGTCCATGGTTTGATGGTGGTGGAGCAGTATTTTGTGCTCAAAGACATGCTGAAGTAGACTTACTTACCATATAGAAAATGCCATATTCTACCTGGAATATAATATCAAGTTATATTTATTGCTTTTATTTTCATATACGATTGATTGTGAGAAAGACAAAATTATATCAATGATTTTTGAAATATTGATTTTTTTTCTCCATTTTTCTGTTCATTTGTATCATTTTAATTATCATATTTCAATTTGATTAAAATCTATAATTATACCTGATTAAAAAATGGTAATTGGTATGAATATGGAGATACACTGTGTAACAGTTTGATAACATAAAGTGTGATTAAATAATACTAATAGGACCTAAAGGAAGCATGATGAAATATGTGTTTATCTTGATAAATATTATTGAATACATTTTCATGATATTTTGTATATTTGATCATGCTCTGTGTGTCATGATTATATGATAGTGTTTATGAAATGCATGGTTAAAGGTTGTTTGCCTGCTTATCTTCATGAACATGTACAAAAGAAATGGCATGATTTTTACTACTATAAAGAGAAAAATCTACTGTATAATGCTGTAAAACATAAAAACTGTCTGTTGTGTGAAATTTTCAAGATAACTGAATTGCTGCTTGATAACCGGTATTTACAATTAATGCTTTTTAAATATTTGCATCTAAAATTTCAAATTTTAACTCGCACTAAAAATACAATTAAATAGATCTCATTAAAATAATATGATGTGTTCCTGACAGATACACATGTAGGTGATTGTAAAACAGTTGATGCATGTCGGCAGGTTAGCACTATTTCACTGGAATGCAAACTTGATGAACTTATCCCCGAGTGACAAACTTCCATGTGATGGTGTTAACTGTTGAGATGTTGTGCTTAAAGTAATCCACCTTTACAATCCTGTAACAGTGACATAATCGATCACTATTTCTATACAGTTTAGCCTTTATCTTTGATTTTGTATTACTGTATAAAAAAAATCGGGTGTCTGTCATGTTTCAAATTTCATCTTAATTTGGATTTGATAATACAATCAAATTGTAAATTAGATAAAAAAAAAAAAACGACATTGATAAGAATTCTCCTGGCACTATTATGCACATTATCAGCAATTGGCCCTGTTCTTTGGAAGATTTTTCGCACATGACACGCCAAAGTGTGGAAAAACATTAGTTGGATGTCGCAGTGCATGCTTCATCTTGTTCTGGATATTGATGTGATCAGCTTGTAAGGAATTTTATCTGCATAACAATCTCTGATTGCTCTTGGTATAAACGAGAAGTGCAAAATTAACTTCACTATTGTATCTGTGAATTGTCATGCCTCAGATAAGATACAGAACTAACTGTCACGATTTAGTTTGATTGGTACTGACATTTTAATTAAGGATGGTCTCGAACTAATTGTAAAACAAATTATTTATATAGTTTTAGCTTGCAAAAGGAAAAGCTCCTAACATATTTAACTACAAATTTTTTGAAGAGGAGCATGTTTAAATATTGTTTCAAGTGACTTGCCTTCTTCAGAAAGAGTTTTAAAGAAAATTTTACATAATCTCATCAACAAAATTGTCCTTTGCATTGTTACTGTACATGAGATTTGTATTTGGTCTGTGATGTAAACATACCGTAGGATCCAGATGGCCCTTGTACTACAGTATTCCGTGATTTAAATCTCCTTTGTTCTGGTGTTTGTTCTACCATTGTTTTTGTGAATGTATTTGATTACAATCTGAGTGACGGCTTCGTGTGATAGCATCTTGAAGGGTCAATGCACTACTTATCTATCAGAATAAAACATTTCAAACTGTCTGGATTATTCCATATCCATCTGAAAAATTGTATGACCAGAGATACGCAGTATGTCTAATATTGAGTATAAAATCATCTGCAATAAATTTGTTTACATTCAAACATGTTTTTTTGGCAAAGACTAAAGCAAACATGGAATTTTTAAATGAATCATTAAGGTTCCAAATTGAAAATCGTACAGACCATCATGAAGTATGTTTTTTTTCATACCGAGTAATGTCGTTGTAACTTATGATAAGGTCTTTATTAGGAAATAATGTCAAATGTAATTTGTCGTGCCTACTTAAGCTTTGCTTTTATCATACGATGCTGATAAAATCAAAACATGTGCTCAGTGGACTTCTACTCCATTGTGATCTGCAAACAGGAAGAGAAAGTTGGATTTTTAAAAAAAATCAAATGCATGTTTGACTATGCATCGCAAATTTTAACAAAGGACCTGATCCTCTTTTATGTTGTAGGGACAAACATATCTCTCCAGGCCTATAGCTTATGAGCAAATGGTATTAAAGATTGACGAGGTTTCAAACACAATTTTGCATGCAAATTTTTTGCTAATCGACCATCCTACTTGCATTATTTTTTTCTGTACTATTGTCTGTTTCTGATCCATGTTCAACCAATAAAGTAATTTGATTTGGTACATAAAGGGATTTTTTTGTCTCTGTATCTGATTTCCTTTATTAAAGTTATTTTGTTGATAAAAAAAAAACCTGACTATGAAATGTCATTTTGGTTGAAATGTTGAACAGGATCTGAAGTGATATTGGGCAATACTCAGTAAAAAATCTAATATTCCAGTTGTTGTATTAATTTTTTGTTGGAACATTTCTCACTACTCCAGTAGTTGTCTATTTGATTAATTACATTGTGACTCCTACTCTGAATTAGAAACATGCAAGTCATCAAAAAGTCTGGAAACACCAGGTCTACTATGTCTGGAGAATATTTATTTAATTAAAAATATCACTTAACCTAATTTTGACAAATCATATAAAGTCAGTCTTCAAAAGAAGGAAGATATTTTATAAGTTGTTGTAAATTGATTCATGTACAAAAAAATCACCTGACTTACATACTTTGAACTTTAGAAATGGTGGGTAGACTGATGGTGAAAAGGGAACCAGTGTCTGGTTTGTTGTTCACTCGTAGTCTACACTATTAGGGTGCTAATCACAGTGTAATTATGGAGAACTGTGAGGGTGTTGATCATACTCTAACCAGATCTGCTCGGGGTCTTTCGTGTTGGGATCTTTGTGGTGTTGGCACTGTTACAATGTTATTATTATATTGTTCACATGTCAGTTATGTTAGCAACAGATTCAATGCATATTTATAATATTTTTACACACATATTTATACATATTCTGTATTTAACCTGGTTCCGGTGTTTGTATAGCTATATACATACTAATCAGAAATGTTTGGAAGTTCATGTACAAAGTTTCTATGCAACCCTTTCACACCATTGCTGTACATACACCTTCAGTAGTTGCGTCTTCCTTTTCCCAAGCAGTCAATTAAATGTCTTGTTCCTTCTAGTTATACTAAAGAGACTATGTAGTTATTAACATCTCAGAATTTCAACGCCTTCTTAGCTACGTGTTCTTTTGCAAATGTCTTTATTGAAATTCTTTGATTGGAATAATGTAGACAAAACCATACAGTATTTTGTGGTAAAACACCAAAAATAAACGTAGTTTATCAATTGGGGAAAGCTAAGAATAATTTTGTCTGAATTCTGGTTAAACATATTAATTCACATTTTAAAAGGAATTAAAGAGGATATATGACTTTTGTAAAATACAATGTATGGTTTTGTAAATATTGGTGTTGAATATATGGTTAGCATACAACATAAATCTTAAGGTACATCAACTATTTGCACAGAAATAAAGCCTTGTAAAACTAACTGAAATCAGCAGTGAAGTATGTCTTTTAATTGCATCATTGTAGTGTATTAATTCTATTTAAGCTACTTTATTGTCCAGTGACAGCTATGAGTGTTAAGAATGACAGATTTAGGTTGCTATATATGTATATATAATCATCAATCTTGCACTGAAGAGACAATTGGTTGTGAGGTGATGATGATGATACCATGTTATTATCGAGCAATTTCAACACATTTAGCGTTTGTATTTTTAGCTCACTTGGCCCTTCGGGTGCAGCGTCCGTCGTCCGTCAACTTTTTCCTTTAAAATGCTACTTGTCCTGAATGGCTCAGAGGATTTTGACCAAATTTGGTCAGGAGCATCATTGGCCAAAGGGTTCTCAGTTTTGTATAAACGGAGGGTATAACCCCCCTGGGGGCAGAGGGGCGGGGCCAAATAGGGGGAAAATAGGTAAATCTTTAAAAACCTTCTTCTTCTCAACCAATAGAAGAATTTTGACCAAATTTGTCCTAGAGCATCTTTGGACAAAGGAGACTCAAGTTTGTATAAACGGAGGGTGTGGCCTCTTTGGGGGCAGAGGGGCGGGGCCAAATAGGGGAAGTAGAGGATTTTTTCTCTCCTACTATACAAGTGAAGGGATTTAAACCAAATGCAGTCTGAAGCTTGGTCAGGAGCATCATTGGCCAAAGGGTTCTCAGTTTTGTATAAACGGACGGTATAGCCCCCCCTCGGGGCAGAGGGGCGGGGCTAAATAAGGGGAAAAAAGGTAAATCTTTAAAAATGTTCTTCTTCTCAACCAATTGAAGGATTTTGACCAAATTTGTCCTAGAGCATCTTTGGACAAAGAAGACTCAAGTTTGTATAAACGGAGGGTGTGGCCCCTCTGGGGGCGGAGGGGCGGGGCCCAATAGGGGAAATAGAGGATTTTTTTTCTCCTGCTATACAAGTGAAGGGATTTTAACCAAATGCAGTCTGAAGCATGATTAGGGACAAAAGAATCAATTTTGTATAAACTGAGGTGTGTGGGCCTCCTTCTAAGGGCAGATGGGTGGGGCCCATTAGGGGAAATAGAGGAAAACATCAAATATCCTTCTCCTTTTGTACCGATGAAGGGATTTTGACCAAATTTGGTCTGGAGCATCATTGGCCAAAGGGTTCTCAGTTTTGTATGAACGGAGGGTATGGTCCCCCTGGGGGCAGAGGGACGGGGCCAAATAGGGGAAAATAGGTAAATCTTTAAAAATCTTCTCCTCAACCAATTGAAGGATTTTGACCAAATTTGTCCTAGAGCATCTTTGGACAAAGGAGACTCAAGTTTGTATAAACGGAGGGTGTGGGCCTTCTGGCGGCATAGGAGCGGGGCCCAATAGGGGAAATAGAGGATTTTTTTTCTCCTACTATACAAGTGAAGGGATTTAAACCAAATGCAGTCTGAAGCATGCTTAGGGAGAAAAGAATCAATTTTGTTTAAACTGAGGTGTGTGGATTCCCCTTCTTTGGGGCAGATTAGTGGGGCCCATTAGGGGAAATAGAGGAAAACATTAAAGATCCTTCTCCTTCTGTACCGTTGAAGGGATTTTAACCTAACCAAACTTGTTTTAGAGAATCTTTGGGCAAAGGGAATTGAATATTTATAAATGGAAGATGCAACTTTGTTACTTGTACTCCTTTGATAAACCTGAATGGTACTCAGCAGGTTTTAAATTGAAAAATAAAATACCAGGTGAGCTATCAAGGCCCCTGGGCCTCTTGTTATAATAAAATCGCTAAAAGGTCAAGCTTACTTCCGCTTAGATTGCGATCAGAACTGATGTAATCATTTGTTTACCGTAATGAGGGTCCAGATTTAGTTTTTACTTGAGGAACTGAACAGCTATTTGTCTGAAAGAAAGTATTGATTTTTGAATAGCAGTGGCCTTCCTTAGACACATTTGCAGTCTCATTTACCATTAAATCAAGTTCATAATGACAGTAGGCATTATTGATCTCAGTAATTGTGACCCTCTTTGTCTCTGTGTGCAGCCCTATCTCCTGGATTTAGTCCACCGCTGGGGTAATCCTGCAACTCATGTTATAGACAACGGTCCTTAGTCAGGGGATGAAGGGAAAGGGGAGGATGGCGGCGATGGCTAATAATCTGTAAACGACATGGCAGATAAGGGTGGACAAATGTAGACATGATGGACAAATTACTTCATATTATCAGATGCAAATCATTTCATGCTATAAGAAGTAAATGAAGATATTTTCAATCATAACTGTTATTCAGTAATGTTATGACAATGTATTCAGTCATGAAGGAAGGTTATTAATTGATGTGTGATTTATGTCTTCTGTGAATAAGAAAAAGGAGGGATTTTATCATGTTCAAAATTCAAGATTCATCAGTTTGGAAATATGTAATTTCAAAGATTTACACCTACAATAAACATATTAAAGGTGTTGCAGCATTTCAAGACTGGTCCCTTTGTATCTTGGATAAGTGGGTCTTGAAACATTGTGACACATTTAATATATCTGTTGTTTGTGTATAAAGTAAAACTTTGATATTAGAATGTATTATGGTTCATAAAATAGTATGCATAAACACATACATAATCCAGTAGAGGTAATGACAGGAGTAATGGGGTAGGAGGGATTGAACCATTATGTCAATGTATTGTACAGAGATCGGAGGGAGTATACAGAGACCACAAAAGCAGGGGGTGACATTTTCATTCAGTGAAGGGTTACATTATTAAGGGTGGAAATGTTTAGTGGTTGAGGTTTTCTAATGATAACTATTCTACTTCCCCTGTCCATGGATGTCTTCTTGGTCATATGCTTGGCTCTATTCTAACTTGTACCAAAGTGCAAAAATAGTAGAGTTACGGATGTAGTCAGTGAATTTGTAGGTCTTCTAAAATTCACAAACACCTGTTCCTATGCTAAAATGGGTCAAATTATCACATCGGCTGTCAGTGTTAATTGGAACAGGTGCCTGCTTGATACAACATTTGCAAAACCTCTTTCTTATCACTTATTAAATGCTGACCAAGAAATTAGCATTCAAACTGATGATTAAAATGACTTGCATTTATCAAACTGACAGTTAAAATGACTTGCATTAAAAAAAAAATGATTGGTATGGAAATGGCCACTAGCTATTACAGTAGAAAGCACTTCAAAACGTAAATTGAACATGTGTACAGTTTCAGATCGTTTGATAAATTAAGTACAATGTATTTTGTTTTTAAGGTACCAGAATGATTACTGCTATAAAATATGTACACCTGGAATGTTAAGTGTGTAACACATTTACCTGGGTATATTTACAATGCTACAGGTTCACCTTTAATTTTACAGCAAACAGACCTTGAGGAGGGATCACAAGTACAGATGTCACCAACAGTGGCAGCAGCTGCAGCACAGAACCTTGCGATTGGGCCAAAACGTCTTCATGTGTCAAATATTCCATTTAGATTCAGAGAAGCAGACTTAAAAAACCTATTAGGGGTAAGTCTTTATGAACTTTTCTTGTTATTAAAAATGTGCCATGAACTATCTCGAACAGCTTGAAGGATTCAATTTAACTTTCATTTTGACTACCTTCTAAGGTACAAGTCAACTTTATAATCTAGGTTGTACATACTCAATTAACAATTATTTATGGAACTAAAAATAAATGTCTACAAAGTTTGACACCAAAACAATTAGATAGAGCAACATCACAAGTAAAGAGCAGGTCATCCATAATGTAGAAACTTGTAGGTTAAAGGGTAGAACTGTGGTAATTTGTTGTCGTTTGGGATCGTGCGACTCTCAAAGGATAAATTATGCATGTGATGAAATAATCAGGATGTGTGTGCATGTGAATTGGTGGGTGAGCAGCGAGCACACAATTTCCATCTATGTGATTAACAGTGAGGAGGATGAAACCTGGGCACTGATAGTTGTCTACCGTATCAAACATCCTTGATTCCTCGTGTAATGTGATGTTTGATTCAGCAAACAAGGCAGTGCATTGTAATTCAGTACAGTAGGTTTTCTATTCACCGGAAACAGAAGACGATTTGCAGTTAGATTGACGCTGTTAACTGATGTCAGCTGTCATTGTATTTCTCTCAAACAAATTATTTTCGAAATTAGGACAAAGTATTGATTTAAAGATTCAATTGTTATAAAAAAGCAAAAATGTTTCTTGTTTGTCAAACTTTGATTCTGATGGCATTGTACTAAGCAAGTTGTTCAGAACTGGCTAGAATCAAAACACTTCCATTGCAGTTAAAAGCACAGATTTGTCAATTGTTACTTCTTTGTGAAATTTAAACTTAATTAAAAAGAAAACAATTGATATTATTGTGAAATGACAGATCACCGTTTATTATATCACTAAGGAAAAGTTACACAGAAGAGGTGTAAGGTGACAAGAATTTTTCGATAATCCAGTTGAGATGAAAACCATAGAGTGAAATTAACTTGATACTATTATGTAGCACTAGTGAATAGATTCCCATCTCAGAACTAGAATTCCCGCCAGAATGTTCGTTTTGAGATCTGCTGCAAACATGCCCAATATTTGACAAGAGGATGAGGAAGGAAACAACATTAAGTTAATATTGTGTTGGAGACTGGTTTGTTACCGGTATTTGGATGTGGCTCCAGGGACATCTCGCCTGCCTTTTCTGGTTGGAGCTTTGGTGATGATACAAAACAGCCACAAATTGTGACGCAGTCTTGGCTGGAGGTTCTTTATGACTATTGTGGTTTCTCCCAGCCCTGAGTTTTGTCAGATAATTTGGCAGACAAGTTTGGCATGCTTTTCAAATTCCCAAAATTTAGTTGATAGCTGTTGTATTTTATGAAAGCAATTTATTGATAAGAAATCACACTGAACATTGTTAAACTTCAGCTGTTTTTGTAAAATTCTTGATTTCATAATGTTCGTTTTATGTGTTTTTTTGGTTTTAACACAACTGCTAAAAAGTGATGTATCATTTCTCATAGCCTTTATGAGATTGTAGATGGCAGGTTTCAAACTTATCATATGTAATCTAGGATGGATAAGTTTCAATTTGTAAAATAATCCATGTGTTATTTTCCTGATGGAATTGACCCAAGTGAACACTAGGGGATTTAAAAGAGAAATGATGCTGGATGGAGGAGTTGTTAACAGATGTTTTATTAAGGTGCTAAATATAGAAGGTGTGCGAAGAAGTTGCTTGCTGATAAATTCAATTTTTTAGTCGGATGTAGTGTGTTTGCACCCAGATAGACAAATGTGCTGTTAGTCTGAGCTAGGCTTCTTTATTGCATCTTATGGTTTTTGATCGTTGCTATTGGAGAGGGAAAAAAAGTGTGTGATTATCTGAGTTCAATGAGCTTGTTGGGCATGGCTTATTTGATTACCCCAGGAACACCTACACAGATCATGTAGTTACTGGACCGTGTCAAACTGGAAGATGTTGGTATGCATTCAGACATTTTACTACATTTCCCTAGCCTTTCTTTATCAACTCAAATACCAGTGTATAAAGACTGATTGCATGGTCACGACTTGCCTTCCTATATAAACAGTGCTTCCCTTCTCACTTTATAACTTAATTGCCGGCTACAGCTGATAAAAGATAGAATGTCTGGGTAGCCTATATAAACCAAAATATTTTCACTGTGCGCTAAATAAAGATTTAACCCTCTGGCACTTCACAAGAAATTTGCAAACTTAAATTCAAATATCATGTTAAGACAAAGGTAAATCAAGACCAAGAATATATGGATGTGTTACTTAAACACTTTCTAATTTACCAATTTTAAAATAGGATTTTACTGGTATTTGTAAATTCAAAATAAAAATAAAATGTTTTGAATAAGAAAAATGGCATCTTTAAACGACGATAATACTTTCAATTTTATAAAGGATTTGAGACTTTCAGTTTGAAGATAATCATATGAATTTATATACACACTGTTTTAGTGTTTTGAGGAATTAAAATGGTAGCTATGCTATATAATTAAAATATGAAAGCAGTTTTATATATGAGTTGGAAGATAATCAATCTTTTCTTTATTGGGAACTTTATACACCATGTAGGTTTTTATGGATTATATGAATGACGTAAGTTTCATGTTCATTATGGCTGTCCTCCAAGAAATTAATGAAGAATACCAGGATTGTGATATTGTTAACTCGAGATCAGTATGGTCATTAACTGTTTGACCCCCACAGCTATCATCTGGTACAGATCATCATGCTTAGGTTAACTGAAGTGGGACATAATCCCACTCGAAATAGACTTAATTAAAAAGGTTGCATCGAAGATAGCGAAATGCCAAATATCCGATAATACACCCTACAAGCTCCTTGGGAGTAAAAAATGTTAAAGTTAGAAAGGATTGGAGATGTTGCCACAATTTCATTTTTTGTCAAGGTTGTGATACATTTACTTGATATAGAAGAAAATTTTCCTTTAAGCTCAATCGGTAGAACACTGAACTAGTTATCTGCAGTCCTGGGTTCAACTCTCGAAAATGGCACTCGACAATGGCACTCACAAAGATTGACCTCAATTACATATTTTTCGGTTATCATCAAGTGTTCAAGATCCTGATAATGAAGAAAATGCCAAGCTTGATTTATATCTTCTGTTTGTTAAATATTAGCTCATAAATCTTTCAGAATTCATGGTTAGAATGTCATGTGATATATTATTTTGATACCAATTTCATAAGATCTGTTGAATTTATGTATTTACTGCTGTATTCAACCCATGTGGTCTTTCTTCATGAGGTTTTGTTAAATTAGAATTTATTGGCGAATAGAAAACCACCTACATTGCGCTGTCACTTCATTGATGAAAACAAATTATTCTCCGATAAACCTAAACTGACCTTTCTAGTTTTGGATTCAAGCTTGAGTGAAGGTAAAGATAAACTTGCCGTATACAATAAGCTGAAATGATACTCATGTACTTATCTTATCCCTAACCCTTCTGCTTCTGTGGCTGTGTGATTAGGATGGCCAAGGTACAAAACAGATTCACTCGTTTCAACTTTCTTCAATTTTTTCTATAAAAATACTTATGGAGATAATTGAAATAAGAAAAGAATTCAAAATGGAAATGGTTGGTGATTAAATTGTTGTTCACAGAGTTTCTCAAAAGGTTATAACTTTTGTTTTCATGTCATGTTTCATGATCGTAAGCTGTCCACAACGAACTGGTTACACTGAGTCAATATCACATATCAAGTTCCCCATCTCTGAACATAGCTCCTTGTAGTTCCAAATAACAACTTAGATCTTGTTTCTCTTAAGATTTGCATCCAAATTACTTGAGATCATGGTGCCAGGAAGCTTTAAAAGTGTTCAATTGAGATTTGAGATTTATACTGTTTCTAAAGGTGTACGAATGTTTTCTTCAACTAAAGCTATTACAGCAATGGATATACTATCATGTGAGAGTTTTGATCGTATTGTTTAGAGATCAGCCGAGTTATGTGATTGAAGGACGTGATTGGTGATTGTGTGAGAAATACCAATATTTCTTCTTCTTTTTTTATGCTGTTGTTTTATGTTTTGAACAAATTTTGAATTGATTGCTCTTATTATCTCACTTCACTGTGTTATGTAAGGCAGTCAATTTTGCTCTGTGTAGAGCTATAAAGAATCATTTGCACCATCAATTATATCCGTAATGAAAGCTTAATTACATTCTGTTTAATGTTTGTTTGTAATAAACATTATGATATTAAATACTCAGGTGAATTAAATTTCTTCTTGTTTCCTATTTCAGCAATTTGGTAAAATCATAGATGTTGAAATCATCTTCAATGAAAGAGGATCAAAGGTAAGTCAGAATTTTATAAAGAAATCTGAATCATCATATCAATGACAAAGATAAATATCATGATATTCTTCATAAATACATCATTTTAAAGATCATGATCAAAGATTGAAAAATAAAAGTTTAATAACTTTCTGAAACAAATTTTAGTATGAATCTATGAAGATGTTCGCTCTTCGATTGTTTAATAAGTAAAGACTATATATGATGATTCACATGCTTTTATGATATTGATTGATTGAAATGCATCCTTAAATGCTAAAATGGACAAAATATTGTGTTACATTGTGATTATCATAAAAGCTTCTACCCTAGTCTTTGATGGACTTCGATAATAATGGTTCTATCAAAAAAATGAATGAAGTGTTTCTTCTATTCAGTGGTTATCAGATAATAACTAAAATTCAATTAGTTTTACAAATTTGATTTCAAGGATGCATTTCATTATATCTTCAATCTTGAAATAAACATGTTTTCCCAAACAATTTCCATTTCAATGTTTTTGCCATAAAGTTTGCCACAGTGTTAATGATCTTTGTGATAAATATTTGAAGAAAAAAAGTTTTGGTTTTGGTTTCAAATTCTCAGAAAACATTGTTACTTTTACTTTCATTTTGGCTATCAAGAAAAATTGAAAAAACCCAGATTCAATAAAAGTGCAAATATATCTGGTGTCAATATAAAAGGAATGGAAGTTGTTTGATAATTAAGATATCATATTAAGAAACAGTAGACTTCAAGGAATTTTTCAAATAATTTAAAAAAAAAAAATGGAAATCATCAAAGAGCTTTTTTAAAATGTGTTTGATTATTTCACCTGTCAAGTTAATTCTAAGCAATTAGTTTGCAATTTATCCATATTTAAATTTAAACATTACTTAGTTTTTCAGAAATTCAAAATCCTTTTTTTATGGAAATCAGCATATTTTGTATATTCCTTGAAGTTTAAAATTGAAAATTGGTTAAGATTTATATTCGAGATTTGAAAGTTTCTCAATTTTCATGCCAAGTTTATATGAAAGATGAAACACACATGAAACCTCAGCGGGTAGATAAGATGGACTGATATAAGCAGTTGCTCATATCTTAATGGGAAAATTCTAAAAGGGCAGCTGTCGGGATTTATAAACCAGGATTCACCATGATTTAGGAATTTCATATTACCCAGCCAGCCATCTAGACAAGAAAAAAAACCCCATATTCCCATTAAATTGGCATATGTTCAAGACATTTCAGAGTCAAGATAAGAACATGTGAGCTATCTCTACGAGCTCTCCATAAGCAAGCAGGGTAATTTCAAAACATATCAAAGAAGATCAGTTATTGATGCAGAAACTGTTTTTGTGAAATATTAAAACATGGTAAACCTGTTTAAAAAGTGCAGAATAATCTGTAGCTGATCAGGAGTGCTTTCCAAAATTGTTGTGGGGAAAAAGAATTTGGTTAGGTGCTGTAGCTATCTTCCTGTAGTGTGGGACTTATCCGCCATTTGAAAGCATTCTGTGACATCGGCCATTTCTAAGGCTTCCTGTGTGTTTCCTCTTCACATGTCATTATTATTACAAATGAGTTCCATCCCAAGATGTTAAGTTGTGAGGCTGGCAGGGAGTCAAATCTTCTGGCTTCCTTATCTTGTACTTGACTAACACAAGTCTCAGGGGATACCAAATAGGGGCTAGAAGGGGAGTGGAAAGATGGATAGATATACAACAACACTTGGTAAGGGGCTAGAGGGGGAGTGGAAAGATAGATATACAACAACACTTGGTAAGGGGAAACATGAGCTCATCATGTACCAGGGTTTCACAGTAGGCAGAGCAGAAGGCCAGAGAGGCCATGTTTATTTCTACAGGCTACCAGATAACCAGTAAAGGGGGAATTAGAAGGGTAACATGAAGTACAAAGATATCGAGACTTCAGGAATGAAGGATGGTATACATATATCTAAAGGTTTTTTTGTTGGGGGGGGGGGGGGGGGGTAAGTAGAGGAGTTATGGGGATAATAGTATTTTATTTCCTTTTGATTTTATATTGGAATGATGGAAGTAGTAACTGAACTTATCTAATGCAAAAAAATGTGTTTCAATAAATGAGGGCACATTCCTGAGAGATAGGAACTGAAACGCATAATAGAGAGGCTTAGTGGAGGCTCAAGGACATAACAATCCGTCATTTCTTCCCCAGACACTTTGTACAAAAAAAAACTATTCATGCTAAAAAGACCAACCTTTAGGAAATAGATTTTTTGTAATGGTAACTTTTAAACTTTTCTGAAAATATATCAAATGAACATAAATTTGCATAAGGTTGTGACAAAGTATTTAAAAAAAAATCTCCTTCACACCTACTTAGAAATAAAAACATTGAATTGGGTGACTACTGTAAAACTAGATTAGGAACATGAGGATGGTACAGACACGATGTATCATTGTAGGGAAGTAACAACTGTTTGTCTTAACATGAATATTACACGTAGCTGGCTTGTTCTTGCAGTCTGAATAGATAAAGATTAGGTGAGAAGATGGATACCGTTATAAATTGGGGAGGCATTTAAATCAATATGCTGTAGAAATATTCCTGAATTTATGTGAAATGCAAGCCCAGATGTAATTCTTTGACACATCTTTGAGAATGATAGATACAGTTTATAGTGCTAGGTCATAAACCAAAATCTGATGGTGGAGGATGCTAAATGTATCTGATTTTCCCATCATTGATTATGTATGCTGGATATTGGATAATGTCCTTTTTGAGAAATATTTCTAGTTAGATGTTGGAAAGAATTAATACAAACTTGAAAAAAGATTATGATCATCATATTAATTCTATTGATCTCCGAATAATTTGATTAATTATAAGCACAGAAACTGGGTATAAAACAAAACAAGAAAGACCTCTTGAGGGTATATTAGTATCTGGGTGATGCTATGACTATAGGAAGGCCTTAAGTATCGGGAGACAAGATGCTTGAACTGGGGAAAGTTATTTATGTCAGCTGTTAACAAGAAGCCTTATTTATTTCCATGTACACCTGCCAGCCTCAACTTTTAACCTTTATGAATCCATGTTTATCTACAAATTACTGACATTTTCTCTCAAATTGACTGTCATTGTCTTACTGTGCACTTAGAACTAATTAGCTGTTGCTCATGCCCATACTCTTGTAATATGTACATCATAGCGTCTTTTACTACTATGGGAAGACTACTCTGTATGTAATTATGCCCCCTTTGTTTTGTGGTGTCTGATGTGTCAGATCACATGTCCGTTACATGTCGGTACCATTTGTCCGCTTAGCGGCATGAAAGCATGCTGCTTCTTAGAAACTAGCATGTCCTCCCTGATCTCGTAGCCAGGAAAAGTAAAGAAAATATCTTAGATATTTTAGAATCATGGTCATTTTATTCGGCTCATACTAGGTGTTTATACATGGTAGGGGAAAGTGCAGTTGATTTAGAAGAAAAAAATATAGAAAAAAATATAGAATATCAGGAAAAGTGCATGACAGTATTATTGTCCTGATTGTTATTACAAATGATGATATTATTATTACATTTTGATGCCATAATCATTATGTTGTTTTGCACGATTTTAAAGCATGTTCCTTATTTTCCTCATGCATGCAGGGATTTGGTTTTGTAACTTTCGAAACTAGCGCGGAGGCTGACCGAGCACGAGAGAAAATGAACGGCACTGTGGTTGAGGGCAGAAAGATTGAGGTGCATGGTCAATGATTTACCATTTTGTGGTAGCACAACACTAAACGCTAAGTCTTTTACCGTTTTCTTGTTGTCAGTATGAAGAAATGCCTGTACCGTTTGTCTGACTATCATTACTATGAATAATACAATTTTGTGTTTTGTTCCAAAATTGTCTTGAGCTACTGCAAGGAATTTGAAAAATAATTTCCAGTCCCACACTCAGTCATGATTAATTTCTGTTTTTTATTTCCTCCTTAATTTTATTTATTTATGATATATATATTTTTGGTTTATTTCAACTCTTTTCTGATTGTTTATTCTCTTGATATTATATCATCACCCTAGCGACGTATATTCGGTGCATTGTGGGTAATTTTGAAATGTGACGAATAGCTACTACCATTTGATGTCGTGTCATGAAATTCACCTTCAGCATATCTCAGTGCTCGTAGTTCCGTACCTTGTGGCCAAGTTTTCGTGTCTTTTGTGTTCAACACTGCAAGCAAAAACTCTGTTATCGTGCTGTATGGCCAAAAACAAAAACTATAATCTTCAAAGCTTCAAGTTTACATACTGTACAACTCCAATTTGTCCTTTTTTCTCCCGTTTCGGGTATTTTTTTTCGCGACCTTTTTATGTTCGTGTCTGGCATTTCTTGATGCTGTGCTATTATATATATATATGTAGATATTTGTTGAAAATTATACCATTGGACAAACTAGGGTTCAACACCACAAATTTTCGTTCTTGATAGTGAAGCATACTTACGGCTTAAGACTTTCCCACAAAGTGATTGAAATAGGCGCTACTTGCCAGCTCTGGTTTTGTACCAGTAGGTAGGTGCCTTCAGCTGTCTGTCGTAGAACCACTTTCAAAACATCCATGTCTGGAACAAAACAATGAAAAACGTCATCAGATTTGCTTAAAGATGGTACCATCTTCCTTGCTTGAACATATGCCTACCCAAATTTCGTACAACAAGAATTCATTATACACACTAGTCCTCTGATAAAGGTATTATCCTTTCAACGGTGTGTCATTCAAAAATGAGACATATCTCTAATATTGTAAAAGATTAATCTGACTGTAACTTCAAAAGCAGTGTCTAGCATTTCACAAAAAATATTCTACTTGGATACCAACTTGTTTTCAGAAATGAATTGCTTTTTTAATTACTATGATAAATTAAAAGACTACAATATCATCAAATATGCTGGCAATTCTCCATCAGTGCTCTGTGCATCAGCAGGTTGTCACTAATACATATCTACATCAATTATATATTCCTCGTAACAGAAAATAGCATTAAGTAGGGAAGGTGGTCAATATCTGTCCAAAAATATAAACTTTACGGATATAAAAAAAATAAAAAAAATTGAAAGTACTAAAGATCATTGGTACTGCTTACCAGTATACCATTTATTTTTTCTGGCTGGTGTTCATCCAATCTTAGTGTCCTTTTGGTTAGAGAATTGTCGCAAAATTTGTCCAATTGATGAAATTTTATAAAAGGGAAAAAGCAAGTTTGATACTAAAAAAATAAGGGGTAATATTTATTTCAGTCTGCTTTTACTGTCTCCATAAGCATTGGTTTAAAACTGCTTTTATGCAATTCTCAACAATAATCATTTAAAACTTTTGTATTATTTTTACCAATTATCTTTATCATATTCTATATACACTTTTCCTTTTTTGGCAAATACATTTTTTAATTTGGAAATTGTTATTTCAGTTTTAATGTACATACAAATTTATATATGAAATATGATCTATTGAATATGAAGTCCTGTAGAAATTTCGGAAAATTGTAAAAAAATAGAAAACTTGCTTCTTTGCTTCTGAAAACCAATGATGTATATCTTTGCTATTATTTCATGAAGTTTTGTGGACTGTTCAAAACATTGGCAAAATCATTTTGTTTGTTTCTTGGTTAAATGGGAAGGAGCACAATTCAGCATATTTGTGACTTAACTTTTGACATTATTGATGAAGAATAACATGGGAGCTAATGGTAGCTACTTCAAGAAAGGATTTGTGCAGCAAACACAATTAGCATCCACAAGGCTTGATGAGATAATGCTAATTACTAGGCTACTGTGAGAGATTTCCAGTTGATTTTCAAATTTTCATTCAGAACTTTTTATTCCAACTTCACTAATTTGCAAAAGAGTCATTGTTCTAAAAAGGGTATCGCATGATAATAAGAGCAATTTCCGGTCCAAAGAGATATTGATTAAAATTGATGGAAATCTCCAGAAGATTAATGATAACAATTTTTGCAGACAATAAAATGGAAAATGCTCTGCTCACTTTAGCCTTGATAGTGATACATGTATGTCACTGTTCAGTATGACAGCTTCATGTAGATCAATTTGATACCAAGAAAAAAAGTTAAGTGAGTGAAATTACTTTCAAATAACACTCAACACAAATTCTTTGTCAATAAAAAAGATGAAGAACTATTTTTGAAAAGTAATTAAAAAAATGTTTATTTTGTCGATTTTTAATAACCATCGATTGCTTGAAGCTGTCTTCACTGAACAAAATGTATGTCCATAGGGATGTGTCTTCATCTTGTTCTCAAAATTGATTAGGTTCTACATTGCATTTGATAATAATTTAAATATGAAAAAAAGGAAAGCATAAAAAATAATACAAATATATAGTTTGATGAAGATAAAAATAAAGCTCATAAAATAATGTCATTTAAAGTTCTATGATTAAATTCAAACATAAGAGAACAAGATATTAAAAGTCCATCTTCTCAACTGATTGGAAATAGTCAAATTTAAGAAAGTTCATCGAGAACAACACAAAACGGCAACGATCAGGAAAGTTTCTCAAAAACCAGGAGCAAAGTCCTATGATGCCGCCATCTTAAAAATTACTAAAATAAAGGATGCGAAACAAAATTATTTTCAACCATGTCAATTTGTACAATTGTAAAATGGAAATTGAATTTTTAGAGTTTTGTAACTTCTAAAACTTTATTAAAACCGTAAATGGAATTAATTGTTGCCACCAGTTGAGAAGATTCTCTGTGTTGTGTCTGAATGATTGCTATGTTGACACCACACTCCTGCTTCTTTCTAAAGTGTTGCAATTTTACAAATTAGGTTAACAATGCCACTGCCCGAGTTATGACCAAAAAAACTGTCGCTGCTCCCACAATCCCAAATGGTAAGATCCGTATGTTGATTGTGTATGTCTTACTTAATACAAGTTAACGGAGAAGATTACACTTAGACCCTGCTAGATGACAAGTCCGGTGGTGTGAATGGAGCTATCTCAATTACACCCCAAAATTTTGAAAACGTGCGATGACCTTCATTTTTTATATAACTTTTTCTTTAAATTGTCATAGTCAGTGATGTGTTTATTGCTATGATGATCTAATGAGAAAAGTATATTTTGCAGCTTTGGAAATATCATTTAACACAAAGCATATATTTATTGGGGAAGATTTTTTTATGAATGAAAGTCGGTTACGCCTAGCTTTATAAAGCCTCCTTCTATATATTGGCAACACTTGATTATACCTTTCATATGTATTTTGCACCTCTAACAAAATCCTTGGACCAATTTCGTGTCCTGTCCCATTGTGCATGCAATGAGTATTAGACGGAGGAGTGTATAGCCATCATGCTATTGGGATTTTCATCTATCAGGGTCTTGTTGACTTGTTCTAATGTTAATCTGGAACCATGCAGCATGCAAGAACGGATGCAACTGATAATGAGGTATTGCAATGAGGAAAATAAAGATTAATAACTGTACCAGGTGTCATGATTAATTGATTTATTCCACCTGCCTGTCGAGGTAATGTCATAGTCTTGTTTGTGTCCTTGGATGGATAAAATATGGCTTTTTAGACTTTTTTTTTGTTTCTAATAATAATTTCCTTAGACTGTAGAAAAAAATTAACCTTTTGGAATTTTGACCAAAACTATGTTTGTTTTTGATGGATACTTGCATCATGGTAATTAAAATGAGGGAATATTTTTTTTTAAATGTTGGAATCTTGAGACTTTTATTTGAAATCTTCCTGTGATGAATAACAGTAATATGCACTTATGGTACTGGATGAGAATTTGGTGGTTATGTTTACCTCGGGATGCTTTCCGGGAAAGTAAAAATGTTGCTCAAACTTGCATGCTGTATGTCCAGTTCTATTGTGAATTTTCATGTGGAATTAATCGGAGACATTTTAATGCTTATGTAGGGGAAACATCATATTTATGTTTGTGATTGTTTTAAATCAATGTTTCATCTAAAATACATGTTAGAAGTAATTTATCAAAATGAGAAAGGCAACACTGAGTATAACTCATGAACATCTATTCCGGGGTTGAGTTGTATGTGCCAAAAGATAATCATTGCTCTCATACATTTAGTGGTATAATGGTCTTTTTGAAACCTTGATGTATGATCTTAAAAGCAGAGGAAACCGTGTGGGATTGGGAGCCTTTTTATGTGAAAATAAAGAGTAAAAGAACTCAAGATAAATCAAGGGTTTGGGTCCTGCTTTATGAGTCATTATGAAGCACTATTTTGTGTTAAAACTATTAAACAACAAAGGAGCGGAATTTCATAAAATATTGTTTAAGTAGAAACAGCAATTTTGGAATATTTTGTCCTTGAACAGTCAATAACTAAATCATAATAACAGTTATTTATTTCCCTAACCTTGTAGGGTAACGAGTATTTATTGGGATACACTATGTTAATACTGGTAGACGATTTTAAGATTCACCCACGTCTTTCAGACAATGTATCTTAACAACCACATATGCTTAGTTTTAGCGATATTGTTAGTCAATTCTGTCTACTATTCAGTTCCATCATGTAGGACAGTATCAACATGGAATCAATAAGTGGGTTCCAGCGACAAACATACTTTATAATTGACTGTATAGAGAATGATGTAGAATTTGGACAGGAGATCATTATCACAAGCCTGGTGTATTTGTGAGATTGTAGCATTGTGAATAGGAATCTATGGAATGTGGTAGTCATATTTATGTACATTTAGACCGACATTGTTACTGGGCACAGGACCAGCACATGTGCAGATAATGATATAGCACATAGAAGTCAGCCTCCAGTCCAGTCTGTTAGGGACTTAGAGGATAGATAATGATATAGAACATAGTAGTCAGCCTCCAGTCCAGTCTGTTAGGGATTGGAGGGAATTGGTTTAAAATATCCAGGGAAACTATTGTTATCTAGGACCGACAGCAGTGAAAGTGGGTATAGACAAGTTTAGAACATGGTCCAGTCATATCTGCTTAAGAGAATTAAATCTGTTGTAGGGGTGGGATAAGGCTGTAGATAGTCAAAACTAAAGGATGGGAGTTTACACAAGGGTAAGGTCTGGTACAGTCTGTAGTCAGTGAGGACTTCAGGAGTGGGATATAGACAACATTAAAGACCTATCTGTAGACTGATTGTGAGGTTTAGGCAATGGTAGGGCCTGGGACAGGCTGCAATTAGTCACAACTAGAGGGTGTGGAATTGGCAATGGTAAGGCCTGGGACAGGCTGCAATCAGTCACAAGTAGAGGGTGTGGATTAGGCAATGGTTAGGGCCTGGGACAGGCTGCAGTCTGTCAGAACTAGAGGGTTTGGAAAAGGCCATGGTAGGGCCCGTTCAGGCTGCAATCAGTCACAACTAGAGGGTGTGGAATAGGCAATGGTAGGTCCTGGGACAGGCTGCAATCAGTGAGAACTAGAGGGTATGGAATAAGCAATGGTAGGGCCTGGGACAGGCTGCAATCTGTCAGAACTAGAGGTTGTGGAATAGGCAATGGTAGGGCCTGGGACAGGCTGCAATCTGTCAGAACTAGAGGGTTTGGACTAGGCCATGGTAGGGCCCGTTCAGGCTGCAATCAGTCAGAACTAGAGGGTGTGGTATGGACAATGGTAGGGCCTGGGACAGGCTGCTGCCAGTGAGATATGTAGAAGTTAGGGTTTGGCAAGGGTAGTGCCTGTTAGAGGCAATAGTCATCTTGGACTTATAAATAGAGGAGACCGTTGACTGGGCTGTTACAGTCTGGACATGAGGACACAAGAATAGGGTTAGCTTACATGGCATTTAGTCAACAGTAGTGATTCATTTACACGTCTATAAAGAACCGTGCATGGTTGATAGACAACAAATGCTAGGATGAATGAAAACATTTAGCTTTGTGTCTGGTATACAGAATCCTCACCAGCATATAAAACCTTTACATTTATCAGGGATTTGCCAATGGTCTGATTTTTATTTTAAAAATGAACATATTTGAACAGTCTGTTATTCTGGGGTGGAATGTATTTCAAAGGTGCAGTAAAAGCACTGTCATTCAAATATTCATTGACACCATTTTTCAAGTTTGATTCAGTAGTTCAATTTGAAGGTTACAAATGAAATTTCTAGTATTTATTTTATAATTTTGATTGGCAAAAACTCTGTAGAATGGTTAAGAATGTAAGTGCACCTGTTCTCGCAGTGTGGTAATTAAGTTTCTGTATTGTAGGATTTCCCCAAGCAGTTGCAGGCAATCCCAGCGCTGGTATGTTGTCTCCAAGACAGGGGTTAATGTTATATTTTTGATTTCTAAGCAAATTCCTAAAATAAGATGGTGCCCACTACAAGCAATTGCTCAGTCATCATGCTGTTCTAGAGTCAGCAGGGTCTGTGACAAAAGATCCTGTAGAGGACAGAGTGTTATATATATATAAAGAAATATTCAAACCCTGAATATATTTACATTGTAATAATGTGTAACACATACCAGATAAGTGAATTATATTAACTGCTGAATATTCTATCAATACTAGATACTCTTCAAGGTTAATTCTTGCATTCTATGCAAACTATAACAAAAGTCTCTTCTCATTTGTCATAGACCCCTGAGGATCTTGCGGTAATGCTTAATTTCTACTGAATCTTTAATGAAAACGAAATGCTTGGCTAAGTAAGGTTCCAAGGATATACAATTTTGTCTATTCAAACAATTACACATATAATGGAGCATAATGAGCATCATGTACTTAACAGTCTTGTACTAATTTTTGGGATTGAACCGTGCATAAATAAATGCATTAGAAACTGTACCATGGAGTTGTGTGCCCCTTACAAGTGACAATGTTTCTGTTTTATATTTTGTGCAATCATGACCTATTTAGACAGCCCATTGCCGCTTCCTCATCCCCATATATGCTATACATATACACATTTTACACACATGTAATTCCTACTCATTTATGAACGATTATTTACTTTTTTGAAAGAACCGGAATCCTTTTTTGTAGTGTAAAGATTTGCAAGTGTTGTTTACTACTTCATATTATAACTTTGAATGGAGATGTTAGTAGTAATCACAAAATTATGTTAATTTGATTTCTTTTTTAAATGTTATCTGAATTTGTAATGCTGCATTATTGATTGATTGATGGATGGATTGATATGTAAATGTCCTAAAACTATGCAAAATGCATCATTATGATCATGGTTATTTTGACTGTTTTGTGTCCTGATGTGAACTCTGCCTGGATATCATAGATGGTCTCTTGCTTAGTCGTATTATCATCAATCTTGCATTTATATTATTATTATTACAAGAATTTATTTACATTTTTTTTTATTGAAATTTGATTTTTGCATTGAACCATGAAGGATTTGCATGAATGCCCCCGTACTTGTGTTCTGTGTTTGTCCTATTCGATACTTTCTTCCTTCATGTTAGCATCCTGGTTATTTCAGCTGCAGCATTACGAGGCGTTGCCTTGACCAGAGGACGGGCGGCAGCTGCCGTAGCCGCACGAGGAGCATATGCCAATGTAGCAGCAGCTGCAGCTGCTGCGGCAGCGTTCCGACATCCTACACCTTTAGCGGCCACCGCTACAGCACTGCCTTACGCAGCGTAAGTATGAGGAAGTGTAACATAGGCATACTTGGAATTGTAGGTGTGTACATTGATGATGGTGGAAGTAAGTATACTGCAACTAGGAAGGTTTGAAGCCACGACCCTGCCTTGACATAAACATATTACGTATTAACCAATCACATAGTCTCCCTCGAATCATTCATCACAATTTCTAGCAGAGAAACAATGATTCTATCTTAATGTCCTCGGAGAAAACCTGGACTATGATAATCAGAGTGAGTGAGTTTGCAATGCTTACAAGGTTCATGTCTACTGCTACTCAGTGATGATGTACAATTCTGCTCTTCTATCTTCTTTGTAATGGAATTCAGTTCTAGTCTTCTATTTAATAAAATACAGTTTTACTTATTCTGTCTTCTTTTTAATAGAATATAAACACAAAAGAAGACTTAAGGTCAAATTTGTGAGATTTTGATTGAGTAAAGTGAGATGTGATTGAGTATAGTGAGATGTGATTGAGTATAGTGAGATGTGATTAAAATAATTAACAGGCCCTTTTCAGTACATGCATAATGACACATAGAAACTTTCCAACACAGGAATGCACTTTAAGTAGATTTGAATTATATTTAGTTTCTATATTCATTGAATATTTTATTTGATATCATATGTCTTGTTAGTTGGGAAAGTATATTATTTGCATCATAAATTGTAGGATGTACCATTGTATTGCCAGTATTCTGTTATCCTTGTACCTTCTTCATGAAATATTCTTGGAAATATTACTTCTGTATAGGAAACATACTTAAGAGTATGTTATAACTATTACTTTAATCCTTATACACAAGAAATAAACAACTTGTATCCAGTGACAAGAGAAGTTTCATCTGGCATCCAAATTATGAAAGGATTATTAAATTATAATACTCTGGTTGACAAAGCTCCCTTCCTTTGATCTGGAATGATGAGGTTACATTACAACTGTTGAAGCAGAGATGTAACGTTATCTTGAAATAATCATAAACTTACTCTCTTCTGTATTGTAGACTTTGAGGATATAAGTTGTAGATGTGGTAAACTTTGGTATGCTATCTCTGTCAGATTATGAATGTTTGTCTGCATTTTTGGTGAAGTTTGCATTGTAGCAAATATTTTGCAGATCTGCTTTATGTTTATAGTAATGCATTTAAAGTAAAAATGACGAAAAATGTGTCAATTGTCAGATTCTGCCGAATGTTTGTAAGCGGAGGGTATTGTGAGTGTTTGTATCCACTCCTTGTGCACTGTATGAATTGATGGGCTGTTGTACCAGGACAGCCTGGGTCAAAGGTTGTAATCATGACACGTATGACATGTGGATGTTTTGCATGTTACAGGGGCATGTACCAGGACCCGTTCCTAGCGGCAACGTATGCAGCCGCTGAAAGATACCAGGTAAACATCCTCGCATGCACTTGTTTGTCTCTTGTCTGATTCGCTGACCTGTGGTTACATTATGGAAAGCTGTTTATACTTAATGAACATATGTTCAAGTATTGACCTGTGATCATCTTGTGTCATCAGGAAGGTTGTATATGAAATATTGTAAAAAGAATCTTAAACATCTCAAAAATAATCTCAAAGACTCATTTTGAATGATTCAACATGCCTATCATGAAAAGTTTGCTAAGTGTATGAAATAATTCAAATTGTTCTCTACAACTAAGGCCACTTGATTTATTAAGACTTTTCCAATCTGTTTTCCCCATATCTGGATTGACATTGAAATTCTTCTGTAATGAATCATCAAAAGTAAAGGGCTTTTGGTAGACATTTCAAAGCCAAAGTAATGGGTATTATTTTGATAAATTACATGAATTTAAAAAAGACATGTCAGCAAGTGGGTCAAAATCCAGAAATTGACACAAACCCCACCAACATGATAGCATGACATGAAATCATTATCAGTGTGTAAGTATTTGTATTACAAACAAATGTGTATGATGATGAATTTGTATGATTTGTAGCCCTGTCTGTCCGTTTTAAGGCATGATACACTGTATCGACCAATTGCATTGTGTTTTAATCAACATTAAAGTGTATAGATGGGCAATGTGTACAGAGATAAGGTCTTTTTATCGGGTCATGGTGACATGAATGTATACGAGTTTTGTCGTTTTTTGCTCCCCCAGTTGGTGACGACACAGCCCTACCCTACAGCGGCTGCAGGCTATGCTACCGCTGCCACCCGCTACGCAATCCCTGCCGCTATGGCTGCCACAGGAGCAACATATGCTGCCGCAGGGTCCATTCCGTAAGTTCAAATCATACTAGTTACTGAATTGCAGTTGTATTCCAATATCTGAACAATCGGGCAAGAATCAATCGCAGAATTTTTTTTTATCTGTCTCACTCATGTTTGATTAGTTGCATGTAGAATCCCAATAATCGTTTGAGAAAAGACTGAAAAAGACACTCTTTAAGAAGTTCTGATGCAGACAAAAACATTATTGAAATATTGCGTTAAACATCATCTATATTATTGTCATGCTTTTTTGCCTTTCAAAAAGCAGGTATGCCGGAAGAGAGTATGCGACAGACCCCTACCTTGGACACAGTATTGGACCAGTTGCCGGTTATGGAGTAAGTATTTACTTTTTATCAGAGATAGATTAAAGTTAAGCTAGAATTCATCTTGTGTACGGTTACATCTGTAGGAACAGTAAAAACAACAACACAAGACTTGTGACGCCTGCGTTGTATCCATGGAGATGAATTTCTCTCGACCCGTTGTATCCTGCTGGGATTCAATTTTTTTCGGTGGTGGTGTGTGGGGTGGAAGGGTGAGAACTAAGGTTGACCCAAGGGGCACCTAATGTGTAGCTATTCACAAGCAATGTCTGAAAACTGATCCTCTGAGACACATTTAGATGCACGTCTGGATTAGCCTCCAACTTATTCGATCTGATCACCTGCGAACATGTGACATGGGCTTGGAAGATGTTGGCATCACTGCATCAGGAAACTGAATGTTTGATGGCAATACAAATATAGATGATCGATTACATCACATCATTTCTGTAGGTCTGCTTATTCTATATTCAGAGTTTCATCATATGATTGTGATTTTGAGTATGGATTTTCATGTTCATGAATTACTGAATTGATATGTATTTATCACAAGTCAAAAAATATGTTTCATAAAACAAAAGTGAAAGTCTTTTTGAAAGTGAAACCATAAAAATTATTGTAACACTAAAGAAAGCAGGATAACAGTTTTTGACATTCTTTTGTCTGACGTTGCAGGCGACAATGTATCGTGGGGCCTATCAGAGATTCACGCCCTACTGATGTACTAGAGTTGATTGTGAGAGAAAGGATTGGAAAGGAGTGAACTAACAAAGCAGCGGTCATGTGATAAACTCTGCAGTGTTGTCATGTGGATCTGTGGAGTTGAGGTGGAGCTGCCGTCAACAGTATTCGCCCTATTTAACTCTTGAAGCAGACCAGACTGTGAAGTGCAATGTTCTCATCAGTGCTGAATTGGTGCTTTTTCACTTTATTTTGTAATATTTGATTGTATGTTTTTATTTTTAAATCAGCACTGATTTGAGATTTTGAAATACTTGCTGCCATTTTTAAGATTCTTCCATTCTGATCGGTTCAGTCCTTGAAACGCAAATCCCCAATGAGATCATAGGAAAATACCTCAAAGCTTCCATTGTGCTGAAACAGTTTTGTTGGATTTGTTTTTGGAGGATATTGAGGGAATTTAACTGCATCCACATGCAACTGTCAGTATTAAATCAAAATTTGTCAATATTGGATGCGATTGTAAGTTTGTTATTTCCGTTATGTAGTTGTGTTGTAGGTCAGACCCAGTATAAATGTAGACCTACCACCAGTCATGTGTGTTGTTGGACGATCAGAGACGGATAACTAGTATCCGTCTACCGTCGTTCTAAAGTCATTATTTATTGTATACAAACACTCTTATTTATTCATCTGTATATATATTATTAAAACCACTCAAGCGTTTCAAGGACTGAACAACGGTTATGCATCACTGATCGTGCTATCCACACCATGACCATGGTGCATGACTCTTGTTGACAGAATGTAGAATGAATGGTGGGGCCGTTTTGGGTCATAAGGATGGAATATATACTTATTATTGATGATGAATGTACATACTAAATACTCATAATGCAGTGAGCTTTATTTTGAACAAATGCATCTAGTCAAATTCACACTGTTTTACCTCATGCCAAGTTAAGGGGTGAATCATCCTATGTGAGCACTGGTAATGGTCACACACACTAGCGTCTTGTCGTGCTGTTAATTTAGGCCCTACCAATCAGTCATGTCACTGGAAAAAAGCAAAAGTGACTTTGAAAAATACAGCCTCAGATTAGGTATTGAATTAAATATCTAAAATCATCTCATATTTGTTATTACATTTCAAAATAGAAATTTTGTAATTCGGTAAATTTGATATTTGTTCAAAGATACAACATTGAGTTTACAATGATTTTCAGATGTTGATGGAGAGTCAAAAGCAGGAAATTTTATCATGACGTTTAAATTTATACTAGGGTTGGTATTTTGCCAAAGCGTATTACTCATAACTTCAATGCTAGACTGCATTTGATACTAGGTTATAATACTAAATTGATACCTTTTATTTTTGGCGAGATTTTAAATTTTGAATTCAGGTTTATTTGAAAAAATCTTTTTAATATTAGATGTATGATTGTAATAGGGAGTTATGGTAGGGCCAGTAGACCTGGAAGAGTATAGTACATCAATATTCTCAAGGTTTGCTGTGAACACAGCAGCAAGGGGCTTCCCATCTATATAATAATTTTTTCCATCACTCTTATGTGCAATTAAAACACTCAACATTTTACATACATCATTTTTTGGGATGGAGATGAGCGTAACGATGCTTGTCTATGCATGTTCATTTGAGTATGTAACTGAACTCTTAACATTCTGCAGCAAAGGTCAACCTTACACACTAGTCAAGGTCTAATCAAATTGAAATCAGCATCATAGGTCAAGGTCAAAGTCAAATTTGAAAGTAAAGTTGTGCTTAAACCTTATGCTAGTCCAGGTCAAATTTAATCTTAAATGCAAAGGTCAAAGGTGATGCTATTTTGGTGAGGTATTTTAACAGTGTCTTAATGCTTTTGGTTCTGTTTGAGAAATGATAAGAGATTGGTTAGTAGATCTTTTTTTTCTACAATGTATACATTTGTTTTCTTTTTTTTAAATGTTCTTCATCAACTCATTGTTCATTCACAGTTTCTTCCAGTATGCTTGTACAGTAAGCATGAGAGCATGGTGCTAGGAAGGGTTGGTACCATGAGCGGGTGAGCGTGAGAAAGGTTATTGAGATGTGAGATTGTGGGAGTGATACTGAAAAATATAATTGGAATACTAGTCGACTCTTATAATAGTTATATAATATTACAATGTTACTTTTCATAATTTAAGAAGTAAGTTCATACATGTTATTATTGAAAGATGTTCGTTACTGGAACATTCTTGCCAAAAGAAAATTTCTTGCCCTTGGTGTATTTTATCAATGATTTATTATCAGTTCTATTGTTAATATTACAGATATGCTTAAATTTCTACGCAATATTTTTTTTTCAAAGTTTGATCTGCCCAAAGTTTTTTGCTAAATTTTTCATTTTAAGTTTTCTCTTTTTATTTTAGAGATTTGTTGAAAGTATCACTTCTTTATTCTATTCTGTTAATAAAATCGTTCTTTCGATTAATTGAAACATCCTATATGATATTACTTAACTTTTTTATTTTGATAAGTCTGATACAGCTACCTGTGACCTAATGATGTAAAAACTGTCAGCATTATTGTGTGAAAGATTGTTAACATTTAAGATGACTCCTCCTTTTTTGTTCACACTATTTTACTGTAAAGCAATCTCATTTTGTTTCTGAGGGCAGAGCAGGTTTTATTATATATTATGAATATTGTATTCTTCCAACTTTTGTTGTCAAATTTTTATACATGTTGATATGTAAAAAGACTTATTGCACACAACATAAACTGCAAATTTGAAAAAAGAAAAGATGAATGTCCCATCTTTTTTTTTTAATGATGATAATCAAAATTTTCAGCAGATGTCAAAAATACAACAAGATTTTGTTAAAAGATGTGGATTGTTGAGTCGTGATTATCTCAAGGTGCAATAAAAAAACAAATTACAGAGCGAAGGAGTAAAATCTTTCGCTAAAGCAACAGTGAAAACACTTATGTTTGTGTTGGAACATTGTTATTTTGAGATTGCATTGATGGCGCATCTTTGGGAAACATTAGACATTGTGTACCGTAGGGCAACATGCACAGGTACTGACTGTTGGTTGAGAATGATGATAATATTGATATGTACATTTATTGTTTGTGTATTGAATTTCTCATCTTTTCTTCTTTTTTTAATATTCTGTTTTCATATTAATCATCTAATGTTTGTGTAGAATGTTAGCCTGGATGTACATTTGTGTGTATATATATACTACAACAATGGCGACAAAGACGACGACAGATTTTGTCTAGCTGTTGTTCGTCGAGTTGGCCAATTCCCGAGAGCTTCCTCGGAGAGAGAATTGGGCATGTCAGGGGCATGATGGGATGTGTCATACACGCATGATTTGAATGAACTACTGATATGAAGGTGAGAACCATTAATACAGCATGAGTGTCTCCGACAAGTTGAATGTGCTTCTTCCCCTGATCTCTGATTTGGTCATTAAGCAACGTTTCTGGCATGCCTTTTATGATAACATCTCTATTGCTTGTATACTGTACTTAGTTGACTCGTAGTTTGGTCCTGACAGGGGCCATGTAGCACCCGCGGGTACAGGTTAGGCGGGTCCCTCCCCAGCCCCCTCCAGGCTAGACCTAATAATGTAGACAATAAAATTAGCCAAATAGAGATATAACGTTTTTGTATATTAAGGCTAATCTTTATCGCAGTAAAATATTACAGGATAAGGCTAAATATATGGGGTTTTTTTGGGGTTTTTTTTAATTGAAAAATATTATTTATCAATTCCTTATTATTGATTATTTAATGTTATTTCGCAAGATCTGAGATTCATTTCAATCACTTAATTGGAAAGTGATCTTATGAAGAATTTAAAGATTGAATTGGAAAGTGATCTTATGAAGAATTTAAAGATTGAACTGCTTGTGTTAAAATGTCAGAATAAGGATCTGTTTGGTTTAAATTGTAGGTAGTGTTTTCGTGAAACATAAAAGAAATATGTATTGGATCTGTATTGCTGTGTTTATCTTGGTGTTTAAACGTGTCACATTTGGTGATATTATACACATTTGAAATCTCAGCAGATTTACTTTTACTTTATATCTTGTGTAAACAACTGTTTTTTCTCGTTATAATTAACATATAACCCCTGCTTATATATAAATATTTACTCCTTGACCCTCAACTCCTGCCCTGGTCTTAGTTTTGTACAGATGTAAAACTCAAAAAATATTTATTAATAATATTCTAGCACCTTGATATTTAGATTTTAGAAATTGTATACTTAAATAAGATATGTATATCTTGGCACTAGGTTGTTGCAAGGTTTAGATTTGTTTCTTTCACCCCATACCCCTTTCTCGATAGATGTACTAGACAGATTTCAGAAAAGCATCTTTTAGTATGTTATTTATAATCACTGAATTTCATAGCATCTGTCCTGCATGACGGAGGATACACCACCCTCCCAGTACTATATATGCTGGGTCCAAAGCTAATGTCCCCTCTGTTATAACCAATGATATTATCAACACTTGCTTACAATTTTCTCATATTCCACACAGTGTTGTATTGGTATTAATGGTTTAGATCAGAAAAAAAATTACAAAAAAAATACATATATATAAAAATATTGCTTCTTTTGTGCACATCATTTTGTGTCTTGTATGTAAATAACCTGACTGCACTTTGGAACAGTTTATGTGTCTGAATATTATCTTGTGTGCAACTCATAGATACAATAAACTGTTGTTCAGTGTACCATATAGTTGTATTACTCTCACTGCAGCCCTTAATGCTAAAGCATGGTTTTTCTTGCATTTTTGTATTATTCCAGAATGTAGAACATGTCATGTACTATTTATAGTAACAGATATTAAACCAGGGTCATTCTGCAGCATCATGGAAACATCTTTGCATATGACCTCTTTGACCCCTGAGAATGCTGTTCATGAAATATGCATGCAAACATTGGCCTTTGATAATCCTGCAAATGATTGTTTTCCTCACTCTGAAATACAGAAAGTGAAAAAGAAATCAACACAAATCCATAGTTCAACCAGCATATATAGTCTATCCTCTTGGGTGCATCTTTAAGCTTTTGATAAATCAATTTTTATTTGTGTTCTGCATGACTCTGATTATCTGGATTATGTATGTGCTACTGCAGCTACTCCTTGATAAAAACAAATCACACACGAAAGCGCACTATCAAAGCTGAACTGCTCCCAAGAGTTTAGATCGATCAGAATACTCGTATGTATGTGTGTTCCTTACTCCAGCCGCGACACCAGTGAACTATTTATAAACAGACGTATCGAACACCGATACCTAGCATCAAAACAGATTTTATGTTTCGACATTACAGTACTGAACCTACTAAATTCTTTATCTTAAGAGTGTCCTGCACTTTTTGAAATAAATCACCCAAAAAAAAAGTTTGTTTTACAAACAAACTCTGATTTATGGCTGTATTATTTATTGAATTTTGATCAAGGCAGGTGCTCATGTTTTCTGATTCAATAAGTGGGGGGAAAATGGATTAATGATGAGGTATGTGCTGCCGCCTGCAGATTAGATAATAGCATGGAAATAAGTCATTTACAGTAGAAAAATGGAGAGTACAGATTACCATTAGTCAGAGAGTAAGTAGGATAGTGCTGGTTGGACAGAATTTGTGTTGAGAATGGCCTTTGACCCTCACATACTTGAATCTTGGGCAGGGTGTGGCAATATTGCATGCCTACATGCTATATTTGAATTGCATTTGGTGATGGCTTTGTTATTATAATGGCTAACAATGAAATATAATGTCAGTCAACCAGGAAAACTGACACACACAACGCCAGACTCATATTCTACCAGTATTGGTATTAATGGCCTCGCATACAAACGACAACGCAAAATTGAATTTGAGGCATTGTCTCTCAGACCTACAGATAGCTAGCCTGAAGGGACAGTTCCCTGCGGTGAAGCGTTTCCGTGACTCCGAGCTCAGAAATCATGAAAGACATTACTTTTTGCTGCAGTACACTGTGAAAGATTGTCCTATAAAGCCAAGACGAATGTCGTCTGTTAACAGTGGTTTGGCCTCGGTTCAACTGCCATGGTTTTTACAAAATCACAAATCTACATTATTTGGTAGTATTTGAGCAATAAATTCTTCAGTGATGTAATTAGCTGTAAGGATTTGCTTTTGCTAGTTTGAATTTAATTTCAGCATTATGAAAAAGACTTAATAATAATTAAATAACTAGATCCAGTACCAATAAATCTTCATTATTTTTAAATCATTGTTGATGAAATGATAATTCTGAAAGATTCTTTTTAATATTTATTTGGAAATGTAGATGGACAAGTTTTATGTTTAAGATCTAATGCTGAGATATTCAAGCCAAAAGATAATCTTACACCTCATTACATGGTACTTGCATTTGGGAAAAAGGAAAAACATAAAAACTTCTTTTATGCCTATGACCAATAAGATAGCAATAAGAAGACAAATCAATGACAGCTGCTCGATATTAAATTGAAATGTTGGATCTTGACAATCTCTAGTGTTGGTTCTACAGTGTCCTTGTTATTGTCCACATGGATTGATGAGACCAGTTTTAAACTGTATGTGTTTGCTATTGAACAAAAACAAAAAAATCATACAAATAAGGTTAAATATTCATTAGACTTGAGATTGTCAAGATTTTTCAGTTCACATATCATTCCAGGATAGATAAACTCTAAATTCTGTCATCAAACTTGAAATTAAAATGGTCAGACGACAAGATGGATATGTACTAGCACAAGCCTAACAGTTGTCACCACTGGAATGTTCAAGTGAGATTCTGTGTAGAGATTTAGAGTAGATTATTGCATGATATAGCGTGTGCTAACAGACTTGTGTTGTTCCTAGCGGTAACAAAATCCTGTATGTATCTCGTAACTCTGATTAATTGTCGGTGGAAACTTTTAAAACCAGTTGCTACAATCAACATGAACACACTGAAGATAAATCCAAAAGTTGGATAAATTGTATGCAAAATGGATACAATTCCATTATGTAGGGTTGATTAGTATAAACAAGAATCTCTGATATTAAATTCACATATTTGTAGTTGACTGCTGTTCACAAGAACAAGAAGATATACTTCAGTGAACATATTTTTACATCCTATTTCTGATTAACTTGACATAACTTATTTTCTGTAAGGATAGACAAGGTTATATCAATTGAACATTCCTACCAAATCCAACTGAAAAAAAGGATTACCACACTTTTAATATAATTTCATGAAGGCAATAAGTTTGAATTCCATATGTTGTAGTTTTAGGGTTTAAAATTTGATTATGAGAATATCATTTAATCCATAGAGTGAGTGTACTGTAATGCTTCTGAAGTTTGATACAGCTGGGTGCTAACATTTAATAAGACAACAGCCACCATATGGTTTACCGCTAAAGAACATATCTTAAGTGTAAAACAAAATGGCTAATGTGTTTGTCCACAACAATTGTAGGTCCAGTGTATGATTCAGCCAAAGTTAAGTAAAATTCAAAGTCAACCTATCCACCAATTTCACAATTAGGAAATCATCTTAGGATGGGCAGGATTTCCTCTATAATATAGAATTAAGTGTTTTGTATTTGGAGATATTTCAATTTGAATACAATAGAGAAAAGTGTGGATTTTAGCACAGAGATGACACTAAATTTTGTTTTGAATATTTCCAAATTTTAAAATGAATAATGCATAGTTTCAAAGAGATTCTTACAAGTCTGGCGAAATTTTGATTTTTCAATTATTACCTCATTCACCCCTGAAATTTCATAATGAACTATTCCAACCTTTGAATTGGAAGAGTTCAATTGTGTCTTCAGGTGTGAATGAGTTAATTCCATCAAAGCATGGCTGGAGATATTACAGGTACATATCAATAATTTATGTCATAGTGCTGTAAAGTGACATTTGAGTGCTGTCTAAATGATGGGTTGGGAACATTAATGATTTGATGTCTAATGGGGATAATTTTATTGAATAAACATTTTACATTGGCACCTGTGAAACTAGATCAGAAACCCCAAAGGAAATTACAGATATGTGGGTAATTGAGACTGGGGGCTACATACTTGTACAGTATCCTGCTCTAGCTTGATTTTACAACGGATGGAGACTTGTGTAATATGTAATACTCACCAACTTCTAACAAGCACCTGCTACTAAGGGATTAGACATTGTAATGATGACTACCATCATATACTTAACTAATAATGGGTAAGTCTATCTGCTTAATATGGGTCTGCTCTGCCAACTATTGTGGGATTATATAGTCTGCCAATATAATTAACTGCTATTGATCCTTACAACATGGATGTCAGTACAAGATTTAGTATTTATGACCAGTGTAACTGATTTCATTGTGAAATTGGTGGAATTTTGCTTGATTTGGATAAATACCAACGTCTAGATTAACATAATAACATCACAAACAAACGAGATACACAGATAATTAAACCTGGTGAAAATTGAAAATGAAACTTATCCCCAAGTGTCTGGAAAACAAGCATAGACCACTCAGACAACAGATTATCACAGTGATAGAAGTGTGGTCAGGCAAATTGTACCAGTAGGACCATAAAATCCATAACCATTTAAATGTGTATATTTACTGCAGATTCATACCTTTGTAAGTTTATAGTATTGCCATTTGACAGACATCATCCACAGAAACTTAGAGGGTACCATTTTACAATAGTTCTGGGTGAAATATACTTAAAAGCATAAAAGGGTTATTCACCTGTACCTGTTCAGAAAAGTTGGCTAGTGCCCCATTCTTGGCCGACTCTGATCCATCTGCAATAATTGGGAAAATTTAAGAAGATTCTGCATTAATCACCCCCCACCCCCTCCCTTGTCTTGTGTAGAAAGCTTGGTGTGTTGCACAAGCCATTATCTGACCAATGTTTATGCCGGTAGATAATTACTGGAAGGATGCATACTGGGTTTAAAACTAAGCAGATTTTTGTTTGTAGATAAGTCTAGCAGATTAATCTCCACAAGCAAGGCCTCTTAATTTTCCAACAAAATCGATTCACAGATTTAGCTGTAAGTACAAGTTCTACAGGGATTCTAAAATTCTGATTCAATTAGCGACAACAGAACAGGGATAGCAGTGGACTGGGATAAGAGCTCCCTCGATTACCGTTGATACTACCTCATAGAAACAGTAGATTTGGTATAGATCTGGTATGTTGCTGTTAGTTACGCCGCGTTTATATTACTCTTGAGTCTAGGAGGTATGGAGACTTTGGAAAATGTCAAATATATTTTAACAGAATTATGGTAAAAAAATATGAGCTCTATTACCTCCCGAAATACAGCTAAAACCATTTAGAATATTTAAATGAAATTGTTACTGTCGTGAACTCGCGTCATCATTGTAGAATATGCTATTTTACGCCCCAAGATAATAGCTGCTTTTCTCAGTTGAAAAAGTTTAGACTGTTGTAAAGGGTAATTTTACCAAACGTAATTTGGCTTATGTGGTACGGTATCCGGTTTCTCCCGGCATTGTAACCCTGCTTCAAGTAGTAGTAAGAACACTTCAGTGCTTTCTAGCAAAAACTTAAAAAGTAACTCATCCAAGCTAGGGATGACGTGGGTTATAATTAAAAGATATGATCTGCATTTTTTGATGTTGACAACATTTTGGAAGATGTCGAGGTTATTCTTAGAAAATTAGGCATATATCGGCCTGTATTCCAGATGA